TGGAACGCTTTCCTGATGTACATGAATCATAGTGTAATTATAAAGTATCAACTTTAAATGTCTGATTAGATCGGTTAATAATCGATTCTCTCCAATAGGACCTTGTTCTCAGAATCCGATCAAATTGCACGAGCTTCATGTTATCCTTACCGATAATTACAAAATCCCTCTGAAAAATACTTGGATCCTCTAATGTGTTCCCTATGTACTACATAATTGTTTTATCTATTTTGAAATGAGGTACACTAAAACCTATGGTTACTGTTTTATGGTGCACCGACTTACGGTGATGGTTTATGGACTATGACTGATATATGATTATTGATTTTCACTGATATGATAACGATGATTACGGACCTAATGTGACTCTTGGGTAGGCTCACGGGCCCCAAGATGCTCCATTAGGTTGGCTCCCTTTTGCCGTGTGCTTAGGGTAAGCCCTATGGACTTACGGGCCTAAGGATACAGGCCCAAAGCCTATCCTTAGGTGACCTCCTTTTGTTGTGTGCTTAAGGTAAGCCCTACGGACATAGTTCTGAGGAACTGCGGATAGAGTACATGAAAAGGATTTAAACTACGAGTTTCAAAAGTGAAACTTCATTATGATTTTATGATGATTTACTGAACTATTACTCATTTATTGTACCTACTATGATTTTATCGTACTGTTGGAACACACTAGACATCATATTCGATCTCATGAAAAAGTGATACTATGAATGCTTCCTATGAACTGTGATCTTCATGGTTTCTACTCGATGAACTACTAATGGAATCCCAGATTATCTTGCAAACTGGTATACATTTGATTCAATAAGGAAATTATGGCTTCACATTTATCTGCATGTCCTTTAGCATTACTTGGTAGTTCTGTATTACTGAGCTTTCTGAAGCTCACTCTATTACTCACCATTGCAGGTTAAAAGAATTGTACCAGTGCAACTATCGTCATCAATAAGGGAGTTCTTCCGGCGTTGCTTACAGAGTATGATACATGTGATTAGGGGGCATGCAATTGTATTTTGTTTTATATACGAGTCTAAAAATCTGTTTTTATTTTGAATGCTGATAAGCAATTATGGGTTACATGTTTTAATAAAAGTTTTAAATTTTCCATTATTTTTATAGTGGGTCGCTCCGGTGGCCCTAATATGACACATCAGATCAGATTGGGTTCCGTATCGGTCTGAGGGGGTTACATACAGATTACAGGCAACTATGTTGTATGCAGGGCACTAATGTTCCATACAGACACATACAATTATTATATTGCATACAGGGCACTAATGTGCCATACAATTACTGGTAGTTATATTGCATACCGAATAGAGCAATAGTTTTTGACTCGCGTAACATATATTCTCAGGATTATACATTGGTTTGTAAAAAATGAAACTAAAAGAAATAGTACAATAAAAGATCTAATAAATGCATCTTGAGATAAAAATGGTGAGATTGATAACCTACAACCGTCATAGTAAGATTAAATTTTAATTGATATTTTCTAAATTATACAATGGTTACTTTATCTAAATTGTGGATTAAATTCAGGACAAATCAATAACAACAACAACAATAAAACCCTATTCCCATATGCAATAGGGTAAGGGAGAGATAGGGTAGTAGGCTGCCCCCAACGCCAGGTTGAGAGCAGCTTACATGGAAGACCTCCGACAATCAAAAAATTAAAAATAAAGATAAAATACAATGCATGTATAAATAAATAAATAAATAAATACATATTTGAACAGTCTTCATATGCGCGTCTGAATGGGAAGTAATCCCTGCAAATAAATTCCCGCGTAAAAATCTATGCATATAGACATAAACGTAAGACCCAACTAAATTTAAAAGGAGAAAACATGAAGAGAATGATACACAAAAGTCAGCAATAGCAAGCTACGAGAAATAATATAGTCAAATGGGTTAAAACCTAAACTAAGGCAACACTACTATGCTACCCTAGTTCTAAGCCTTCATAAATTCCAATGACAGAAACGTATAAAAAGTATAAGTCATGGAAATTACTACAAAGGCATTAAAAAGAAAACAGAGATGCTACACCCTATGGCTGTGACCCACACTACTCGGCCACCCGGGTCTTAAGTCTGCATACTTTCCTATCAGAGGTCATGTCCTCGGTAAGGGCTAAATCCTTCAAATCATATCTCAAGCAGTCTACCCAGTTCCTCCTTGGTCGTCCTCTCCTTCTCGCACCGTCGACTGTAATCGACTCTACCCTCCTGACCGTATCCGACGGTTGGCGCCTAAGGACATGCCCAAACCACCGTAGTCTTTCGTCCCTCAATTTTTCGGATACAGGAACCACCCCCAAGGACATCCTAGTTACAGAGTTTGGTGTCATGTCCCACAGAGTCCTACCACATGCCCATCGAAGTATTCTCATTTCTACGGCCTCCATCCTCCTTACGTGATCATTCTTGATTGCCCAACATTCTGATCCATACAGCAGCGCTGGTCTTATTGCCATTCTATAAAATTTTCCCTTAAGTTTTAGAGGCATCTTCTTGTCACACAAAACTCCAGTAGCAGCCCTCCACTTTAGCCATCTCGCCTTTATACGGTTTGTGACGTCATCATCTACACCCCCCATCTTTATGTATCATAGACCCTAGGTACTTGAAACAATCCTTTGAGGGGAAAACGTGTCCTTCTATGCATACTTCTACATCTTTATCGTTTTGGTTCCCACTCAAGTTTGAACATAAATACTTGTCTTTTCAATATTGATCCGTAGACATTTTTCTTCCAAAATAGTCTTCCAGGTAGTCAGTCTACTATTCAGCTCAGTTTTTGTTTCAGCACTAGGACAATGTCGTCCGCGAAAAGCATACACCATAGAACACCGCCTGGTGTCGCACAAAAGATGTCGTTCATAATCAAGGCAAAGATGTAAGGGCTAAGAGATGACCCCTAGTTGAGTCCAATTTCCACCGGGAATGCCTTGGTGTCGCCAACTGTATTTAATGTGAAACTATAATAATAGCTGTTGTTTGCGGGTGGTCGTATGGCTGTAGACAATGACTACAACGAATATGTTTTAGATAAATTTAATTATATACGCTACAAATGTTGTTTACGTGATATTACTAAAAAGAGATTATAAGAGTTGTAATAAAATATACAATAATATAGTATGAGAAAATGTAAAAGAGAGATGAAGTATGATAAGTTGTTAAATAGTTACGTATGAATATAGTAATAAATTATGCTATAAAAATTAATTGAGTGATACTTAAATTAAGCAGTTTTAATTGTGATGTGAAATTGTATTAAACCACTTAGTTACTCTCTAAAACCGAATGTAAACTGTAAGTTTAAGTAATGCATAAGGACATTATACGATAAAAAGTTTTTATAGAAATTGTTAAATTTATAATTTTATAAGAAATTAAATTTTAATGCTTTCGAATAATAACTGTTATGTAAAAGTAGTATGATATATTTAATTTGTATTTGGGTATGAATTAAGAGTGTTACAGAGAGTGTAATATGAGAGTATGTTAAAATTGAGTGATAATCAAGATATAATAATTCTGTGAGTGTCCTTTCGATTTTTATTTTTATTTAAAAAAAAGGAAATAATGCATGTAGGTCGAATGTTATCAAATTTTTTGGATAAGCAGTTGAAGTATATTTATATATAAAAAAAACAGCACACAAGCTGCTATAATCAAAACATCAAGAACACCCCGTACACAGGTACCCCACCCTAAATAACCTGCTAGTCAGTGCAAAACCCAAATCCAATTCAATTTCAATTGGAATTGGGCCGCAATTGAATGCAGCAGCATCAACAATAACAATGGTAGCAATAGAGCAGCAGCGCATGAATATGAGGAGCGCTCGTTCGGAAATGAGCTTCGGACACGTCCATCACGATGATGCATTTCTTTCCGCAGGAGGAGGATCCTCCGTCTCCAGCTTGGAGAAGATAGGATCCGACCCGAGGATGATCTTTTCTCCACCTACATTCTCGTCGACAAATTAAGCTCACCTCCTCCGAAGCATCTAAAGGAAGCAGCACCATTAGCCAAGGGGAGAAGTTTCCGTCCTCCTTCTCTCCCTTCACCACCATCACCACCAACACACAAAGCATAGTAATTCTGTGGACGACAGCGTTTATGGCTAAACAATGGAAGCCAAGGAAGCTAGGTCTCCTGGAGCTGGAAGTTTGTTTCTTTCTATGGATTTTTGTGATTTTGCAGCAAAAGTTGGCGTAATTGCAAATTTTATGTTATTAGCTTTACCAGGAAAACCACATAAATTTCAACAGGTGTAGTGATGGTTCAAAGTAGTAGGTCACCTACCTCACCCTGTAGTGCTCATTAATTCACGGAAAGCATTAGAGCAGACCCAACTCCCCGTGATACATGATGATCTGTACTAATTGCATTGTAGGCTTCAAAATCTAATATCCACACAGATTTGTATACAATAAATATGTGATGGTCGTTTAAGGTTGGTGATTCATGATTGAAGAGGGCTCTATCTTCTGTTAATGATACAATCACTGTTTTGCTTGCTGTTTCAAACACTACGCTGTATTGATGCTATATGCATTTTCACTTTTTGCATTTGGCTTCGGTGTATAAAGTGGAAAATGGTATTTGGTCATTAATTAAATTTCAATACATGTAGCTCAATATTACTACCAACTCTAGTGGATTGGGCCATAGTATGAATGAGAAGAAGAAATCCTTCATTTTTTTTACAGTAACGTGGTGGACACGTGGCAAAATTCAGCAGGCTGCTTGTCCGTCGTTGTCAATTCTTTACCACGTCCTGCCACGTCTTCGGTACAAATCTTTTCCTCTTAAACAACATGGTTATTGTATAGCATATAAAGACACATGTATTCAACTAGAAACACATTATTCTCCTCCACTTCTGGTGTCTCGTGTTCCTAAGGTTACGAGTACTACATCAATCAATATTCGTTTCCTGCTTCCGAATTTCATAGGAATCCGCTTTAGTCTCTGGCTTCACCACCTATGCCAGTGATCGAACGCGTCCCGGGAAACGCCCTGTTCGGTAAATACGAGCTCGGCAGGCTCCTGGGTTGTGGCGCCTTCGCCAAGGTTTATCATGCCCGTAACGTACGCACTGGACAGAGCGTGGCCATTAAGGTCGTCAACAAAAAGAAGCTTTCTAATTCCAGCTTGATGTCCAACGTCAAGCGCGAGATCTACATCATGAGTCGCTTGAATCATCCTTACATCGTCAAATTCTTCGAGGTTTTGGCTACCAAAACTAAGATCTATTTCGTCATGGAACTCGTCAAAGGTGGAGAATTGTTCGCTAAGCTAGCTAAAGGAAGGTTCACCGAAGATCTCAGCCGTAAATATTTCCAGCAGCTCATCTCGGCCGTTGGTTACTGCCACTCCCGCGGGGTGTTCCACCGTGACTTGAAACCTGAAAATCTCCTTGTCGACGAGAACGGGAATTTAAAGGTGTCGGATTTCGGTCTCAGCGCCGTAACCGATCAGATCCGACCCGACGGGTTGTTGCACACCTTGTGTGGGACCCCGGCATACGTGGCACCAGAGATATTGGCAAGAAAAGGTTACGATGGAGCTAAGGTGGACGTGTGGTCATGCGGCATCATCCTCTACGTCCTAAACGCGGGTTACTTGCCTTTCAATGACCCAAATATCATGGTTATGTACAATAAGATCTACAAAGGTGAGTATTGTTGTCCCAAATGGATGTCGAGCGATCTCAAACGCTTCCTGTCTCGGCTTCTGGACACGAACCCCGATACGAGAATTACGATTCATGAGATATTCAACGATCCTGGTTCAGGAAGGGTGGTTATAAGGAGCCCAAGCTCCACGAGAAGCATGACAAGGATGAGTTACAGCAGGTTTCAAGCTTGAATGCATTCGATTTAATATCATTCTCTTCGAGTTTGGACCTGTCTGGTTTGTTCGAGGAATCACATGAGCCGATCAGGGATCGCGAGCATTTTGTATCAAGAGAGTCACCCGAGAAATTGGTGGAGATGGTGGAAGAGGTTGCCAAGGGCGAGGGGCTGTTGAAGGTGAAGAGGAAGAAAGAATGGGGCATTGAATTGGAAGGGGAAAACGATAACTTTGGGATAGCGGTTGAGGTTTATCGGTTAACGAGAGAGCTGGTTGTAGTGGAAGCCAAGAGAACGCGCGGTGATGCACAACGTTACAAGGATACTTGGAACAATAAAATCAAACCTCTCCTATTACAATGACAGATATGAAAAAGAGAAAGACAACAAGAAGAAATATAGCCACAAAATCTGCAAGTAACATTAGTTTGTCGAATAGAGGTATTATGCATCGGTGTGAGAAAAGGTTAGGGTTAGGGTTATAATTAAAGATGTGGTTAAGTTGTAATTATATAATTATGTATCTGATATATAGAATATATGTGCTTAATTTTAATGCAATGTATTAGGTATTAAATTTTACGATTTTAATTAATGCAATCTGTATATATTAAAAATTTACTCTTATTATATTTATATTTGTATGTAGTGTATAGTTACCGTTACTCTTTTAAAGGACTAAGATGAGTGGAATGATAACGCGATGAATTTTTATTTTAGTAGTCTTTTATATTATTAAACTTTCTACTTTTACAATAATGACAATAATAATGCATAATATTTTTTTAGTAAAAATGTCGTAATTGACCTAATAAAAAATATTTTTATTTATAAAATTTGGAACACATTTTAATTTTTTTTATTGATAATATATTTAACATAATAAATAATTTCCTTTAAAAAATAATTGATGACTAAAAGATAAAAAAAGTAAAATACATAATTGATTACTTTCATTTAGCATCTGTACACTTTTTTTCTGAATTCAAAATATGTAATATTTGGTCATTTTTATTTTTACTTAATTTAGATTTGATAACTTTCATTTTTTTAAATTAAGATGTGGTCACTGAAGGTTTTACTGCCATTAGATTTTAACGGAATGGTGACATGACACAAAAAATTATAAATTAAAAAGGGTTAACTACACAAATGGTCACTAATGTTTGAGTATGTTTGAGTAAGATTTCGTATTCCTACTAAAGTTTTAAAAGTAACAAATTGGTGACTAAAACATCAAATAAAACTTTGAACAATAATTTTATATCTAATTTATTCCAAAAGTTTTATAAATGTTTGTTTATCATTTAAAATATTCATGTCCAAAAAAGTTGATTTCTAAGTTTTTTTTTTAAATTTTAAAAGTACTTATATAAAAATTGGAAAAAAATTAGAAAGCTTTTGGGTGTAAATTAGATATAAAACCATTGCTCAAGAACAAATTTGTTGTTTTAATGACCAATTTGCTACTTTTGAAACTTTAGTGGGGAAAATAAAACTTACTCAAACATTAGTGAGGATTTGTTTAGTTAGTCTTTTTAACTTTATAAATTCATTACCCACGATAGTAATTCATTAAAGGCCAAACGACAGTTAACTCTCAGTGACCATAGTGACCATATATTAACTAAATAAAAACAAAAGTGGCTGAATATTATGTATTTTAAATTTAAGGGTAAACTACACAATTAGTATCTAAACTATCAATTTTGGTCCCTTTTAATTCCTAAGCTTTCAATTTTTTCAAAATCATACATAACGTTTAGTTTTGATTTCATTTTAGTACCCTATCATTAGAAACTTAACGTGCTTAGTACATAAAATATCAATTTTGGTGCGTTTTAGTATCTAAACTTTCAAAATTTTCAAAACTTAATGTTAAATTTTGAACGGGAACTAAATTGAAACAAAAATAATAGTTTTTAACCGCGAGGTACTAAAATAAAACAAAAACTAAACTTTAAGTATAATTTTGAAAAATTTAAAAGTTAAGGTAGTAAAATGGACGAAAACTGATAATTTAGATACTAAACATGTAATTTACCCTAAATTTAATAAAAAATTATAAAAAACTTAAATAAAAATGGTCAATCTTGTAGTTTACCCAAAATAAAATGTAATAATTCAACACTAGTAAGTAATTTCAAGCAAATACCAGAATGGTTAAACCAGATTTTTTGACAAAACAAGGGTACGCATGTTAAAATGTATACTTCATTTCATGATTGTATAGGTTACAAACTATTGTATTTATACAACATCTAGGAATCTAACTAACCAAAAAACTAACTAACAAACTCTCTAACTGTACAAACAGAATAACTTCCTGTAACTATTCTCTACACTCCCCCTCAAGTTGAGGGATTTAAACATTTTTTATCCCCTTTAGTTAAAATGTCTGCAAGCTGTTTTGAAGACGATATATACTCGGCCTTGATTATTCCTTGTATCTTTTCTCTAACAAAATGATAGTCTATATCAATGTGCTTAGTCCTTTCATGAAAGACTGGATTTGCTAAAATTTGCAAAGCTGCTTTACTATCACTATACAACCTTGCTGGTTTCGAAATACCAGTTTGTAGCTCCTTTAAAATACCATTTAACCATGCTATTTTAGGTGCAACAACTGCCATACTTCGATATTCAACTTCTGCTGAGGATCTTGCTACCATATTCTGCTTCTTTGATTTTCAGGATATCAAAAAATCACCTAACTTTATGCAAAAACCAGTAACTGATTTTCTTGACATAGGACATGAAGCCCAATTTGAATCACAATATGCCAACAACTGAATTTTGCTTGCTTTCTTCAACAATATCCTCTGACCTGGTTCCTTCTTTAAATATTTGACAACTCTCAATGCTGCCTCTAAATGTGTTCTCTTTGGTTGTTGCATAAATTGACTGAGATGATGCACTGCAAATATAATATATGGTCGAGTATGTGTTAAGTATATTAATCTTCCAATCAGCCTTTGAAATGTTGACTTTTCTTCAACCAATACTTCATCTCCCTTTTGATGCAAATGCTCGTAATATTTGTGGAAATAAGCTTCAAATTCTGCTCCAAAGGAGTCATGGCTGGTTTAACTCCTTCAAGACCAGTCTCTTTTAGCAATTCTAGAGCATATTTCCTTTGATTCAACACGATTCCTTTATTTGACCTCAAAACCTCAAATCCCAAGAAATATTTCAACTCTCCCAGATATTTCATCTTAAAATTATAATTCAACGTATCCTTCAACTCATTAATCAAGGCTGAATCATTACCAGTTAAAAGGATATCATCCACATAAATGAGCATCACCACCAATTTTTCACCCTCATTTTTTGTGAACACCGAATAGTCAAATTTGCTCTGCTGATATCCTGCAGCTATCAATGCTTTAGTAAGCTTTAAATTCCATTGTCGTGAGGCTTGTTTCAAACCATAAAGAGATTTTTGCAGCCGACAAACCATATTCTCCCACTGGTTGCTAAAACTTCAGGTAACTTCATGTAGATTTCTTCAAATAGATCACCTTACAAAAAAGCATTGTGCACGTCCATTTGAAAAAGAGGCCAATCATGCATAGCAACAAGGGCCAGAACAGTCCTAACAGTAACTAACTTCGCAACAAGAGAAAATGTTTCAACAAAATCAACACCCTCCCTTTGATTGTAACCTTTAGCAACAAGACGCGCTTTAAAATGCTCAACTGTACCATCAACTCTATACTTGACACAAAATACCCATTTGCAACAAATGGGATTCACTCCTCGAGGAAAAGATACTACAGACCAAGTACCATTGTTTTCTAAGGCTTGAATTTCCTCTTGCATGGCTTTAATCCAAACCGGGTTTAAAATGGCTTTAGAATAAGATTGTGGTTCAACAATGGAGGAAGTAGTGGCAAGAAAATGTTGAGTATGAATAGGTAAATGAGCATAAGAAACATTATGAATAAGAGGGTACTTACAGGTGGAAGAAGAAGAAGAAGACTGATTGGAACGCACATAATCTTGTAGCCATGTAGGAGGTCTAGATGCTCGAGCAGACTTACGCAATGGAATAAAGGAGGGTCCAATGATTCAGGTAAAACTGTTGAGGAAGAATCACCAAGAGAGAGACAGGAGGTTGGGATACAACCAAGAATTCAGAATCATCCTTATAAGATTGAGTAGGAAAAAAGGAATCAGATTGTTGAGGAAAGCTAAAAGAAAAACAGATTCATGGAAAAAAACATCACGATTGACAAAGAAAACTTTTTTTTCAAGATCAAATAGAAGGTAGCCTTTTTGAGTAAACTAATAACCAAGAAATACATAAGAAATGACTCTTGAAGCAAACTTGTCGGATACATGTGTTTGAGTTGCATAAGCAAGATACCCAAACACACGAATGTGGGACAAGAAAGGGGGCTTTTTATACGACAATTCGAATGGAGTATGCCAAGACAGAACAGAAGAAGGCAACCTATTTATCAAATAACAGACAGCAAGGACACATTCACCCCAAAATTTTAAGGGAACTTTAGAATGAATGCGGAGGGCACGAGCAACCTCAAGTAAATGCATATGTTTACGCTCAGCTACCCCATTTTTCTAAGGAGTACGAACACAACTTGATTGATGAATTATACCAAGAGAAGAAAACAAAGGAGAGCAAACTGAATTAAAGAACTCAGATCCATTGTCACTACGAATTATCTTAACAGAAGTAGTGAACTAATTTTTAATCATGAGAAACAAGGCTTTTAAATGAATAACAACATCAGTTTTAAGTCTTAACAAAAACACCCAAGTCATACGACTGAAATCATCAACAACAGTAAGAAAGTAACGATGTCCACTATGAGTAGAAACTCCATAGGGACCCCAAAGATCAATATGAATTAATTCAAAAGGATTATCTGTTCTAGAGGTACTTAAAGGAAATGGTAAACGTGTTTGTCGAGCCATAGGACATACTGAACAATGTTGCACATCACTAGAATTAAATTTGACAGACTGAAGAACATGTAATTTGTGAATTTTATTAATGGCAGCGTGCCCAAGCCTACCATGCCAAAGTTCAGTAATGGTAGGAGAATGATGATCAACAAACTTACAAACAGAGGAATTAGAAAAAAAAGAATCATGAATAAAAGATGAATTCAAACCCGAGGATGTAAAAGAATACTCGCTCAAGTAAAGACCTCCACGTTCCTTACCAATCCCCTTGATCTTTCCACTGGAGATGTCCTGCAGGATGCAAAATGCAGGATAAAACAAAACAACACATTGAAGCTCATGTGTCAGTTTAGTGATTGACATAATGTTATTTTTGAATTCAGGGACATACATAACATTGTGAATGATGCAATCATTTTTCAGAATGTAAAAACCAGTATGGGTGATAAGGGTTTTTTTACCATTAGGAAGATGAACAAATCGATTCTTTGAAGCACATGAAACTGGATTTATCAAGAAAGAGAATTCAAAAGTAATATGATCAATAACACCAGTGTCTAAGATCCAATTAATGAAAGAAGCAGTACCTGAAGCTTGTCCCACAAGATTAACAGAGGGCTTAGAAGTAGGGGTTTGATGTAACATACTCAATATCTGGTTGTATTGTTCTTGAGTAAAGACTGGAGCAGAGGGCATATGAGGAGCTGAAGCAGTAACACATTCTTCAAGCTGACCAGTAAGAGTAGCTGAAGCATTTTTCCTTCGATTGAATTTGAAGTCAGCAGGGAATCCAATCAATCTATAACATTGATCCTTTTTGTGCCCTTTAATCTTACAATGGTCAAGAGTACCATTAAACCGACGCCTACAAGTACTTTCAGGAGATATAGAAGCATTAGAATATAGAACAGTAGAATCAGTGAATGAAAATATACCAGTAGAGTGAGATCGTTGAGACTCCTCTTGAACCAGCATCAAGTTAAGCCTGATTAACGCTTGGTAATGGCTGCATCAGAAGAATCTGACTACGCACAGTAGAGTATGATTCATTTAAGCCCATCAAGAACTGGAAAAGGCGTTGCTGGAGAGCATTAACAGTATTTTGTTGGGCATTGGCACAATCACACGAAGGAAGAGGCACCAAAGCACCGTATTCATCCCAGAGAAGCTTCAACTTTATGAAATGTGACGAAATTGAAGAATCCCCTTGAACGAGGGTTGTAATTTCTCGGTGCAAATCAACCTTGTCGAATCTTTCTTTCAAATCGAACCACACAAGAGCAGTGCTGGAGGAGAAGACAATACCAGCTGAAAGATCTTTGCTGACGAAATTGATTAACCACGAAAGAACAATAGCATTGCACCTATCCCATTGTGGTTGAAGTTGCTCCACAAAATCAGACCGGCGACAGACGCTGTTAATAAATCCTAATTTGTTCTTCGCAAGGAGAGAAATCCGCATTGATCGACTCCAAACACTATAATCATGGACGCCGGTGAGTTGATGAGAAACGAGAAGAGCATCCGGTGTATCAGATGGGTGTAGATACAAGGGACGCCTGAAATCAATTTCTGAAATGTCCTGTGGAGGCATCGCGAAGAAGAAGAAACGAAGAGAGAAGGAAAAACACAGAAGAACATAATTGAGAATTTTGCACTGAAACGGGAAACAAAAGCGAGAAATTAAAACAAGCTAGTATAACAGAAGCCCAATAACCCAATAGCCCAGAAAGAAACTGACTGATACCATGTTAAAATGTATACTTCATTTCATGATTGTATAAGGTTACAAATTATTGTATTTATACATCAGCTAGGAATCTAACTAACCAAAAAAACTAATTAACAAACTCTCTAACTGTACAAACAGAATAATTTCCTGTAACTATTCTCTACAACGCATCCTTTTTATATGGACTCCCAATCCACTAAGATCTTGTTCAAGTAAACCCCACCCAACTCGAGATATGAAAATCACAAGTAGTAAATAATTCTTGAATACAAGATCAAATCAGACAAAGAGTGTTAATGTTAAAGAAAATATCTCAATATTTTAACAATAAAAATTAAGATTTAAGATGTCATAACAAGATAGAACTGATCTTTCTTGCCTAAAATTAACCGTCTGTGAATGTGATTTGAGAAAAAGAAAAAGTGAATTGAATTCCTTTATTGATTAGACAAAATGCAATGATTTGGCTTAGTTTCCAGACACGGAGACTGATGGAATGTCTTGTATTGGGTTCCAGTGTAGATTGTTTGCTGATAGAATATTTAGTTTTGTTTGCTTCTCATAGTATTTTTTTTAATCTCAATGTTGTAATAATTTTAGCATTATATCTGCTTTTAAATTGTTTACTTTGGAATTTGACTGCGACACGTAGGTCCCTGACAATGCCTACCCACAATGTCATACAATAATGTTGCATGCTTGGTTTTGGATGCATTTTTCATGGATGGTGTCTTTCGTTTCATATTCATGGGCTTTCCTTCTTCTCAGAAGGTAAAACTGTAAATAGATTCAATGTTAATGACGTGAGAAATTATTAATATTCATAACATATATATATATATATATATATAATAACTACCAACATATAATATATTGTTATATACATAATATAATATATAGAATTGTCTGTTTGGTACGACAATTTCGAGCCGTGCCTAACATTTGGTAGGAGTCATATCTCATATATATGGAAAACATGAGAGTAGGGCATTTTGAAGAAATGAGCATTATACGATCGAGATGTGTAAGAATGTGGGAGTGAATAGCAAATCCCAGCATCTTCCTTACATCACTATCTAGCTAAAAATCTCTATCAAAAGCAGGAGCAAACTCTACGTACATATAGACGTAGACGCATACAGGTAATTAACAGGTCAGGATAAAATGAAATATATATATATATATATATTTTAATATCAGTTGATTATATATAAAGAGTATTGAATTTCTTGTTACAACTTACAAGTTTGTGATAAAATATTACAGCATACGTCTTCATAAATTCCTTGTTGGCTTTGGCTTCCAAATTAATTCCACGAGCGTCAGCAGCTGTCTCTCTCAGGGCCTACATTTCTATTTTTCTACCACACATTATTATAGAAATCATCGTGAGCTAACTGACTCTATGTATGTCACTTTTGTGTGTTTGCCAAAACACAGAGTCAAAGCAACTGCCAATGCCAAAATGAAGAGCCAGTCCCCCTTTATTTGAGATGAGGTTATTTAACTCTTAAAACATAAAGTGAACAAAATTTCGTTGAGATCTTTATATTTTCAACTCTTTTATTTTCTCTTGTTGAAGCTGCCACAACCTTTCTTTTTATATCGGCTGCAATGGCCAACGGCATCCAACTAAAAGAAGACCGGGATGAAGACAAATCGGCAAACGGCCCAAACTGGTTTTTTCCAATCATAGCCAATAGGCACCGGACAAAATTTACAGTTTACGTGGCCAACGCAACCATTACCATTTCCAAAAGTAGATTATAGATAGGAGCATTGAATATCACAAGCGAGAAGTAAACATCATTTCCATGTCAAACATCATCGAGAAGTAAACATCATTTCCATGTCAAACATCATCAAATTAGTTGAACAACAGATGGCGTGCAAAACTCTTATTAATCAAAGTAATCAGCTCAATCGATATAAGCAGTATGAAAATTTACAAAGCTGGCTAGCTTTACATGCATATGTCTATTAATGTATAAAATAAATAGCTTCTTATTGCCCCCTATGATCTAAGTGAGTTGTAGAACTTTCGGGTACGAGCATAAAGGACTAAGGCGAGGAAGGTCCCGATGAAACAAAGTGTTCCCCATAAAACGAAGGTCTTCCTATAGCATTCCATGCCAAAGCATTTTCCATCAGCATTTCCTTCCCTGCGATAAACAATGGCCGCTAGGTAACCGAAGAGGAAGGATCCAATTGGGATGTTGGTCACCACAACGTTATGGTTGACGCCGAAATATTTCGTCCCAAATAGCTCGGTCGTTAAAGATACGGATATGGAAGTAATTGCTCCGCTGCAAACTCCTATGATGGCGGTGCTGATGTACAACCATAGCTCGCTCCTATCGTTGACGAGTAGTAAGAAAAAAGCTCCTCCTGTTGGTGCCATTAATGCCACCACAAATGCAGTTCTTGATATCATGTATTTGCTCCTGAAATATCAAATTTTAATTAATATGAATACTTCAAGGCATGATCATCAACTTTCAACTGATTCTCTTTTGTTTGCTTTTTAAAACCTATAAAAAGAACCCCGTATTGCCTTTAATGTAATGTGATCATAAACTATGCGATGTTTGACTGTACTGAAGATAAAAGGAAGTTATTAATTGGTCTTACCTTGAGAAAACGTAATCGACGATAGATGGTACTAGACGTCCGAAGAAACCGAAGGAAGAAGATAATGAAACGAGAGCAGAAGCCGAGCATCCGCGAGATTCGGCTATTTGTCCCAAGTTGTTTAAGAACACCAAGCCAAGTGTAACGCCGAAAAGATAAACAAAGAAATACAACCAAAAGTTCAATCTCCTTAACATCACCTTCACATCGATCTCCTCCATCACACTGGTTAACTGATTTGTTTTATCATCTTCGATACTACTTTCGGTTAGCTCTCCGCTAATTTCTACAGTAAAAGAACTGATGCCTTCTCTAATCTCTTTCACCCCACTCTCCATATTGTCCAAGGATGCAATATCAATCTCCTCTATGTAAACCTTTTCCTCTCGTTTTAATCTGTTCAATATTCTGGCTGGTAAAAGTTGTTTTAGTCCTAGACCTATGGGAATTAGAAGTGGGACTAATAGCAACGCTGCCATACCAACTGCATTAGTTAAAGGTGATAACATGGTTGATGTTGATCCAAAACTGCCCACGACAGCAAAGGCTCCTGTGGCTGTTGTTATGACAAGAATCGATATGAATGCAGCCTTGGCCCTCTTTGTTTTAACAACATTAATAACTCTAGCTACTGGCGCAGATAGGACACTAATGGTGAAAGGTAAGACAGAGCTGAGAATAAGATAGCCTCTAGCTCTCTGCATGGCTGAAGAAGGGAAGACAACTTCCACAATATCTGTGTAGATTTTTGCACTTAATCCCTGATAGCTACCGGTCAAACCTATGGCGAGTTGACGGTCGAGGGGAAAGTTTTTGATAGTAACGATGTAGCAAACAGTATTGATCCAACAAATGCTATGTCCTGCCAGAACAGTGAGGAAGAAAATGGCACCGTATGACAAGTTGGAGACACGGCTTATTAGGAAGAGATATTGCACTCCGTAACCGATCAACCCGAGAGAGGAACCAATGATGAGGACGAGCCACATGGGCAAGTAGTTGGCCGCTATGCCTGATAGCCATCCGAACAGCTTACCGGCATCAGAGGCAAAGGCAAGGTTATTGAGCTGGATTTGTGAGATGGAAAGGAGATGCTTCAGTTGGGATGAGTAAGCTGGGAAATTGGTGTTGGTTCCATTAATGGATTGAAGCCAAATAATAGCAACTAGGCTAAGCATTTGAAGAAAAGTTCTCGCCATGGCCAAACCCAAAGGCAAAGGGAGATTTAGAGATGAACTAAATAAGTGGCTTGGGTTTCTCTGTGTTGCAATACTAATGGCGTATTTAAAGGGGGGAGATGGAATCAGTGTATTGGCAGTGGAGAATGACACAAGACGTGGCTTTTTCGACAAGAATTAATTAATGAATTCCGATATTATTTGTCTTACTAATTTTATATAAATTAAAGGAGGATGAAATGAAAGGCAGTAAAAGTTGGAAGGTGATGTAAAATTATAAATACGAGTTTCATGGTGACATCATTCATGCATGGGGGATGAGATTTGCGGACCACAATTAATGTGCAGAGGCCACATGGTTAATTTGAAACCATCGAAAATCACAAATACTGGTTTGTTCGGGCCCACATTTTCAGAAGGAGATCTTTCTAGATAACCTCGAGTAATTAAACAATTAATGACAGGTTTGAACTTGTGGTTAAACAAACGGGAGAGGAGAGCCTTGGCGGCAATTGATAACAGCAAACAGCAGGGGCGATGAATTATTTCATTATCAGCTTTAGCTTTAGCTTCGCTAGATGTTTTATTTGAAAAATGAGGGCCTCAAAGATGTGACTTGAGAGAGAAAGGGTGCTCTGTTCAAACCTCAGCCTCAGGCTAGGTCCGTCAGCCTCAAGGGATGAAATCACCTCCTAAATCATGCTTGCGAGTTGCGCCCACTTATTGAAGTTGAGGGTCTTCAACTTTAATTTCGATTGGCAAATATTAGGGAAACCTCAAGCTTTTAATCTGCCCTGTATAGTTACTCAAGTGGGAAAGCACACTCCAAGGGCAGGGCACGTACCCTATAGGGAGACCCAAATTCTTGGACTAATTAATGTCCCAACTTGGATACCTTGTATATGCATTTCTCTGTTTGTTTTTGTTTTCATGCAAATTTTGTATATGAAGTATGGACGCACATGCTTAATGAAGTTGACAGTCTCTTACTTGTGAGGCAGATATTGCTCATAAGTTTTTCTCAATTTCATCATAGCATAGCAGCCGTTTGCACTTAGACGCGATAAAATTGATGGTAACAGCCTGCTCCTGAAATATAAATACTAAAAGTCTAAAAAGTAATTCTTAAAAGACCAAACATGCAAAGGAATCCACTCTCGGAAATATAGGCAATAGAGTTCAAAAACTAAAACAAAAATTGTAAATATAAATAGAAAAAGACCTCAGATTTGCAGCAAATTCGTCAGGGAAAATGGTTAAGAAGTTGCATGTATGAGACCAGCTGACATGTAGCGGTGAATTATTTAAATCTTGGATCACATTAATAATATGTAGTATGGAGACACGTTCATTATATAAATCTCAACTTCTCGGATTGTGTAACATCTCAAAACATGGCTAGTGACTAAAATGTAAATTTTAAAACTTGGTACTGAATTTCAAAACAAGTTAAAAGTTTAGGGACCTTATTGGAGAATTTTAATGTTGAATTTAATTGTAAATTTTGAAAGTAATAAGGGTATTATGATCTTTTCTAAGAGAAGATTTTTATTTTCTCTTTTTATGGGATAAAAATAATGGAATGGGAATGAAAAAGAAAGAAAAGTCTAGAGAATGGAGCTCTTCTTCTTCTCTTCAAGTGAACTCATTTTAAAGGTAAGTTTGTCTCAAGCTGGTTAATTCTTTAGTTTAAAGTTGGTTTTGATTCTTGGAGTGATAGAAAAGCTTAAGGAAAGTTTAAGATTGCTTAAAACTCAAAGAGGATTAAGTTATGTAAGATTAAAGATAAGGAGTTTTTAAATGAAATCTTGGAAAAGAGCTAATAAGCAGAATTGGAAGCTAAATTTGACTTGTCAATAGTTGAATTAAGAGATATGAAGTGATATAATTGAAATTAGAACATGTAGAAAATTTGGTATGATTCTTGATTTTTATTTTGAGGATGAGATTTTGAAGATAAAGAGGTATTAAATGCATAGGAATTGGTTTGGGTATGTATACTTGAGTTAAGAATATTAAAGGGGTTAAAACATGAAGTGTTTGAGCTAATAAGAGTGAATATTTGGGCTTAAAAAGGAAAATCTGGGCAATGGGTATCGGTACTGCTTCATCAGGTACCGATACTTCAAGAGTAAAATAGGGAAGGCATTCATGAGGTATCAATACCTTAAGAACAGTATCGATACCAAGGGGTACCGATACCATAAGGACGGTATCGATACCATCTTTGAAACGAGAATTACAGAATGCAATATGGGTATCGATACCTAGGCATGATACCGATACCACAGCTAGGGAAGTACTGATACCCTACAGGGGGTACTGATACTACTCCAAGTAGAAATAGAATTAAGCCTTTCTTTTGGTCTAAGAATTTAAGGATTGAATTATGACACGTAGAATGTTGATATGTATATTATATGTATGATTGTGTAGATATCGGTCGAGAGCAAAGTTCGAGCAAGTCAACAAGTATTAGTCAAAGAGATACGATTGATCAGGAAAGAGTTATAAGTGTTCAAATTGACTAGTGAGGTCAGGTGAGTGCATATTAGTAGTATATGATGTTTAATGGAAATGAGACTTGCAAAGAGTCTATTTTCGATAGTAAAATGCATGATTTCATAAATAGAAGAATGTGTTTGTGATGATTTATATGTGTTCATGAGTATATGTGTTGACATGTTGTTGTGTATGTTACATGATTGATGTATAAATATATGTTAGTGTGATAAGTCATGTGAAATAGTACAAATGATCTATATGATTATATAAGAATATGAAATAAGTTATATGATAGGGACATAAGGAGTTGTGTGAGCATATGATAGGTGACCATACATGCTACATGATATATGTGATCAATTATAGGAATCAATATAATAGAATTATATGACTAAATGAGAAGTGAGATGAGTTAAATAAGATTAAACTATAGGATAATATGAGAATATTATATTAATAAAGAGACTTGTGCATAATAGATGAAACGAACCTATAAGATAATTGATATAGGGAAGATTTATATACTTAAAGGAAACTATAATATAAGAGTCATGTAAAATTGAACTAAATAAATAGATTAACTTAGTATATAAATAATGTAAAACAAGTAGTACAAATTATAGGTGAGGGTATATGTTACATGATTGGTATAAATTTAGGATAATGTAATAAATCATGTGAACTAGTATAAATGATTTATGAGAGTAAATGGAAAAGTGAGACAAAATAGATAGTATTTACTTATAGGATATACGAGATTACTTGTTTATGTTATATAATCTATACAAGGATAAGTTAGGAAACTACATATGAAATGAGATTTAGTCAGATGAGTTACATGATATATTAGGTATGTTAAAGGAAGTTATGTGAATGCGTGTTGGTATGATATAATTGAATTATTTAATTATGAATGAAAAGATATGAGACATGGCATGAGATATATGAAAGAGAAAGTATATGTGATACGTGAGTGAATCATATGTCTATATGAATATGGGAAATGTTATGAAAGAGAATGCCCATGTTATGTGAAATGAGAGCTAGAGGTATAGTTGGCATGCCAAGAGTCGAGGGTTACCTATGTCTTTCGAGACATATGGATAGTGGTTCTTCGGACATAGTGGTCATTCGGGACATAGTGGTCATTCGGGACAAAGTGGTCCTTCGGGACAAATTATAAGTGCCCCTAGGGAATTATACGAGCTGTGGTGACAACATATGTGCACAACTTCTATGTACTCACATTTTTTTAGTTCTCACATGTGTACATGGGCTAAATAAGAGAACTTATAAATAAAACTTAGTATGGTATTATGTATTTCCTTGAGAAATGATATATGCATTATATGATGTATATGTTGTTATGATTTGAAAGATATTATGTGAATCATATGAAGTTGTGTATATTGTGTGAATGAATCATATGGAAGTTAAGAATGTTAAGTACAAGAATATATGACTAAGAAATATGAATGAATATAGTAAAGATAAGAAAATGAGGTTAATAGAGATATTGACAAGATATGTAGAGGTACATAATTGACTTTTTGTTGATGTGATATTAGTTTATGTGATATCATTGATATGAAATTTTCATGCATTGTTCATTAGTTAGAGTTTCATTATAAGATTTATTATGCTTCACTAAGTCATCGACTTAGCGTGTGAGTGTTTCACACGTAGGTTCTGGGAAGCACGAAAAGAAGCTAAGAGGAGCAAGACAAGTCAACCTCTCTTTTACGAAGTTCAGATCAGAAAAATATTTTGAAATTTATGTATATGTTATATTAATCATAGTTGGCATGTATTAAGAGAATTGTATTGAATATGCTCTAATAGGTTTTGTAAAACCAAATGTTTTAATTAATGAAAATCAATAATTTTCTAGAATTGTTAATTCAAATTTTAACCAATTTGTAAAGAAAAATGTTTTGAAAAGTCAATGTGATACCTCGGACTCGAATCCGGGTCGGATACAAGTTGGGGTGTTACAGATTGTATGAAAATTTCAGCACGGCCAGGCTACCAACTATTTCTTGTTAATAGTGTGCATGATTTTATTGCTTTTTAGCCGACGGAGTAGGTGAGCTAACATGTAATTTAATTTCTTAAAATATTTTTTTCCTCATTTAGATCCAAGATTTAAATTAATAATTTTAATAAATTAATAAGATATTTTTTTGGAAGACCCTTACATAAATTTATACTTTTATATTCCATTAGTATTATGAGTTAATAATTCTATAAAATTATAAATATAATCAAGATAATTTAATAAAATATGATTCTATTGTTATTTGTTTATTCTTAAAATTTAAATCTAGTTATATTTTATATCTAATTTTTCTTACCGCATCTAAAAATTATGGTGTTACAAAAAATTATAAAGAGTTGTTGCCTCTATGAGTGCTTTCTTCCCCGTAATTGATTGCAATATGTGATTGACATCCATTTTGTTGTGGTATCATCAAGGTCATTAATCATTATATCAAGTTCATGAATACATCCTCCTGTAGTTTGTTCATTTAAATTTTAAATTTATTGACGCTG